TACATAAATTAAAAGGATTTAAAAAGTTATACCATGAATATTAGTTTCACAAGGCTGCTGTAACTATATACCACAAATAGTGGCTTAAAACAACATAAATTCACTCTCTTAGTTTTGGAGTCTAGACATCCAAAATCAAGGTGTCTCAGGTTGGTGTCTTCTTCAGGCTCTGTGGGAGAATCTACTCCCTGCCTCTTTCCTGGCGGTGGTTGTTGCAATCTTTACGTATTTTGGCTTGCGAACACATCACTCCCATCTCTGTCTTCATCTTCATGTGGTATTCTCTCTGCGTCCGTCTCTATAAGCAGATTTCTGCTTTCTAAAAGGAGTATCAGTCATTTAAGGTCCACCCTAATCCAGTATGATTCCATCTTAACTTGATCACATCTCTGAATACTCTAGTTCCAAACACTTACTTTCCACCGTTGCAGTTACACATGGTGAACTATTACGTACAGTAAAATAGTTTGAAAGACAGAGCAACACCACATTCACATTACTTTTATTATATTGCTGTAACTGTTCCATATTATTAGTTATTGCAGTTAATCTTTTACTGTGCCTCATTTATAAACTAATATGTATGTATAATAAAAAATGGTATATGTAGGGTTCAGTACTATCCACAGTTTCAGGCATTGTCAAGGATCTTTGCACCTGATCCGTCAAGAATAAGGGGGCACTACTGTACAGTCACATTCACAGGTGTCAGGAGTCAGGAGCCAGAACTTGAACTTACCTTTTTAGGGACACAATTCAACCACAGCACCATGCAACACTAAGCAGAAGAAAGCTGGAGGTTAGTATCGGACAAAGTAGTCTCCAGTACATATTCCCAGGAATAAAAAGAGTATTTTAAATGGTTAAAAGGGCTGGTTTTTCAAAAAACAAGGCAATGCTAAACATGTATATATCTATTACAGGATTCAGAATACATGAAATAAGTGATAAAATAGAGAAATCCATCATCAGAGATTTCCACATTTCTCTCTCAGCAATTGATAAAACAAGTAGAGAAAAAAATCAGAAAGGTTTAGAAGACTTTTTTTTTTTTTTAAGAGACAGAGTTTTACTTTATCGCCCTCAGTAGAGTGCCGGGGTGTCACACAGCTCACAGCAACCTCCAACTCCTGGGCCTACGTGATTCTCTTGCCTCAGCCTCCCGAGTAGGTGGGACTACAGGTGCCCGCCACAACACGTGGCTATTTTTTTTGTTGTTGCAGTTTAGCAGGTGCAGAGTTTGAATCTGCCACCCTCAGTATGTGGGGCTGGCACCCTACCCACTGAGCCACAGGTGCTGCCCTAGAAGACTTTTTTTTTTCTTTGTGACAGAGTCTCACTCTGTCACCCTGGGTAGAGTGCCATGGCATCAATCTAGCTCATGGTAACCTCAACCTCCTGGGCTCCGGTAATTCTTTTGCCTCAAGGCTTCTGTGTATCTGGGACCACAGGTGCCTGCCAAAACACCTGGCTAGTTTTTCTATTTTTAGTAGAAACAGTCTCACTCTTGCTCAGGCTGGTCTCAACTCCTGAGCTCCAGCCGGAGCAATCCACCTGCCTTGGCCTTCCAGAGAGTTAGGATTACAGGCGTGAGCCACCATGCCCAGCCAGGTTTAGAAGACCTGAACAATGCTATCATCCAACTTTACCTAGTTGATGTTTATTGAATATATTACCCAACAACAGCAGTATACTTTGCAAGTATCCAAGAAACATTCACATTCTAAGACTAGACCCTAGATCAGTGGTTTTCAACCAGCGTCCCATGAGAGGATCTTAGGTGTGCCTTGAATCTTGTTTTTCCGAGTCTTACTCTGCCGCACTGGGTAGAGTGCTGGGGCATCATAGCTTACAGCAACCTCAAACTCTTGGGCTTGCCTCAGCCTTCCCAGTTGCTGGGACTACAGGCACCTGCTACAACACCCTGCTAGGTTTTCTACTTTTAGTAGAAACAGAGTCTCACTCTTGCTCTGGCTGGACCCAAACTCCTGAGCTCTGGCAACCCATCGGCCTCAGCCTCCCAGAGGGCTAGGATTATAGCCATGAGCCACCACATCCCTTCCCCCAGGAAAATTTTTGGAGATCATTAAATTATTTTCAAAAGAAGTTAAAAACACAGTATTTTCCTTTGTTTGCAATTTTTTATGACCAATATAATTTAAGTGTGCTGTGGAATGTTAACTATAGGTTCAAATGTGCTTTGAAATGAAAAAGGTTGAAAAACAGTGCTCTAGACCATAGAATAAATCATAATAAACTTATAAAAAGATTGAAGAAGTGCAAAGCATGTCCTCTGACCACAAGATGTAGAAACTAATTTTGTAAATATATCTGGAAAATCCCCTAAGTGCTTCAGTATTAAACATATTTCCAATTATACCATAGGTCCAAGGAGAAATCATAATGGAAATTTAAAAATTTTTTCAACAGAAAAGACAATACAATTTGTAGGATGTAACTAAAGTAGTGCTGAGAGGGAAATTTTATAACCTTAAATTCAGCTGGTGCCATCCTTTCAACCTCTCCAAGGTTTTAGCAGTCTTTCAGGATCACGGCTTAGACTTGTTTCATTAAGGGTTGCAAAATGTTTTCTTAAGTTTCATCCATCCTTCTGCATTTATTAGCTAGAATTTTTCTATGAAGAGAAATTCATCAACCATCTGGTTGCCCTGAAACTTAAGGGTAAAATAAGAAAAACAGGAGTGTATTTCACTTATGTTTATTTATAGACAAATGAGATAATGCTCTAGCAATGTTAAAACTGTGATCAACAAGGGTTTCTTTTTCCTTTCAAAAGTATTATGAATAAATAAATAAACATGAATTATGTATATCAAACAACTGAAGTTTTTCTATTCTTTTTGAGACTCAGATTGTTTCACTGATGGATTCTTGAAGCGAGAACCTAAGTCTTCTCCCTTCCTGACTTTTTTTTTTTTTTAAAGAAACAAAGAGTCTCACTTTATTGCCCTCGGTAGAGCGCTGTGGTGTCACAGCTCACAACAATCTCCAGCTCTTGGGTGATTCTCTTGCCTCAGCCTCCGAAGTAGCTGGGACTACAGGTGTCCGCCACAACGAATGGCTATTTTTTTGTTGCAGTTTGGCCAGGGCTAGGTTTGAACCCGCCACCCTCGGTATATGGCGCCGCTCCCTTTTTTTTTTTTCCTTTTGAGACAGAGCCTCAGGCTGTCGCCCTGGGTAGAGTGCCTGAGCATCACAGTTCACAACAACCTCCAACTCTTGGTCTCAAGCAATTCTCCTGCCTCCGCCTCCCAAGTAGCGAGTACTCCGTAGAGGCGCCACAACGCCAGGTGTTTTTTGTTTGCAGCCGTCATTGTTGTTTGGCAAGAACCGGCTGGATTCGAACCTGCCAGCTCCGATGTTTGTGGCTGGCGTCTTAGCCGTTTGAGCCACAATTTTTAAAAGTTAATTTATTTGTTTTGGGACAGACTGTCACTGTGTCACCCTGGCTGGAGTGCAGTGGCATCATCACAGCTCACAGCAATTTCTAACTCCTGGGCTCAAGTGATCTTCCTGCCTCAGCCTTTCCATTAGCTGGTACCACAGGTGCCACCATCACCAGCTAATTTTTCTGGGTTTTTTTTCTTTCTTTCTTTCTTTCTTTTCTTTTTTTTTTTTTTTTGTAGTGATGGAGGTCTCTCTATGTTGCCCAGGCTAGGCTCAAAATGTTGAGCTCAAGGGATCCTCTTGCCTCCGCCTCCCACCCTGCTGGAATAACAGGTCCGAGCCACTGTGCACGCCTCCGACAATTTATTTTTATTATTATTTTTTGAGACTAGAGTCTCACTTGTTGCCCTCGATAGTGCCATGGCATCAGAGCAACCTCAAACTCTTGGACTTAAGCGATTCTCTTGTCTCAGCCTCCCAAGGAGCTAGGACTACAGGCGCCCACCACAACGCGTGGCTATTTTTAAAGACGGGTTATCGTTCTTGCTCAGGCTGGTCTCTAACCTGTGACCTCAGGCGATCCACCCGCCTCGGCCTCCGAGAGCGCTGGGATTACAGGATGAGCCACCGCGCCTGGCCTCCTCCGACAATTTATTATAAACATTTTTACACGTACAGAAAAGCTGGAAGAATTTTCTAGTAAACAGCAATAAACCCACCATCTAGGTTCAACGTGCGTCCTTCCAGATCTTTCCCGCTGTATCTCAAATATTTACCTACTTTGTCCGGTAACACGATAACCCTGGGGGCCAGTTGGCTTTCATCATGAGTAAAACAACCCGGAGTCACAAACCCCGCAGCAGATAAAGCTAAGCCCACCAGGGTCCTGGAGCTGGAGACACCTGCACGCCGCCTGGCCCCGCCCAACACGTGACCCACACGCTCGGCGTCAGAGGGCGGCCATCCCGGACGGGTCAAACCATCGTTACCATTTAGTAGGGGGAAAGGAAGGGTCCCAGCTGCTAACCTGAGGTTTGGCGTGAATGATTCAAGCCACTCTTAGACAGTTTTGTATTGCGCAGGGACGTCGTATTTATAATACTGTTGGTTTTAGCTGGCTCCCCGCGAATTCTTTTTATATTTTGGAATCGTCCGTTGTTTTGCCCAGTCAGTAGACAAGTCTAAAAACCCGATTTGTACAGGGGGGATTTACTAACGTAAGGTAAACGGTCGGTCTGGTTAAAAGTCAGATGGCACAAGCAATCGTTTGTTGAGCTTACATTTTTTTATGGTGTTAACTTCTGAGTTAGATTATATTCACATACAATTTCTCATACTAGGATGATTTGTGCTACCTACCTTCAGGTGCCACAAATAGTTCAGTCTTTCTCCTTATTGCCTGATGGGAGAAGGCAGGGAGTTGCTGCCATATTGGACGGAACCAACTGCTACCGCAATTGGGGTAGTTTTCTAACGTAATGAGTTTATTGATTGACAAAAACAACTTTGGTGAATAGAATTTAGCACTTTCTTTTCGCAAAACTGTGATTCTGATTTCTGGTAGACACCGTTTTGCGGATCTGAGCTCTTCAGGCTCGTAGTGAGGGACCCGGGCGTGGGTGACCCTCCCCGCAGTCCTGGTGCGGCCTCCCCAGTTGCACGCACATGGCTTGGCGGTAGCCGGCGCGGCGCGCGGTGCGGCCTGGGAGAGTCGGAAGCGCGGTGGCGGCAGACCTCTGCTTAGGAGGCAGCGTCGGGCCCATGCAGGACGCGGAAAACGTGGCGGTGCCCGAGGCGGCCGAGGAACGGGCCGAGCCCGGCCAGCAGCATCCTGCCGCCGAGCCGCAGCCGGAGGAGGACCTGCAGCGGCCTGCCGGGCCCGGCGCTCCGGAGGCGGCGGGAACCGAGGGCGCTAAGGAGGAGGTGGGAGAGGCCCGGCCAGAGCCTGATGTGAGGGCCGAACCAGCTGCCGGGGCGGAGACCGTGGCAGAGGCAACCCTGGGCCCGTCTGAGTCGCCCTCGCCACTGTCTGCCGAGGAGCCTCCGGGATCTCAGGCCGATCCCTCGACCCCAACGCTTGGCGAGGCTACAGGGGAACAGTCCCGGGACGAGCCTGCCGACAGCCGGGCACAGGCATCGTCCGAGGAGGCTGCTGGGAACGAAGGCAGCGCAGCCGAGGCGGAGCCTCGGGCGGTGGAGAACGGTGACGCAGATGAACCCTCCTTCAGCGACCCTGAAGACTTCGTGGACGACGTGAGCGAGGAAGGTGAGGGGCGGGTCAGCGTGGCTGTGATTTCCTTGTCTTAAAAAGTTGTCTATATTTGTTTCTGGTTCGTGCAGAACTTCCACCAAGGGTGTCCGTGTGTTCCTCGAAGTGACTGAAAGAGGGGTCATCACTTTCTGTCTGTCGTCTCTGAGTATATATAACAGAGGTGTTCTGGTGCTTACATTCCTCTTTCTCCCCCCACCCCCCGAAAAAAGGGGGCAGGATGGAGCTTCGGGAGCAGTCATGAATTTGCATCAGAACCAGAAATTTGGAAGAGTGGTATAAGGCAGATTACTCCACTGTGGCTGGGGGTAGAGCAAAAACCAAGGACCAGGACTCACTCTTCTGGGTCTTTCTACCCCCAGAGCTGACCACCCAGACTTTTTAAAGGTCTAGATTGGAGAAACAAGCTGTGGCAGTGCCAGATGACTTTGTCCCCCTGCCCTACAGAAGTGTCTACCACAGCTGGGCTTATAGTTCAGGGGTAGAGCATTTGACCGCAGAAGTGTCTGCCTCCAGAGACTCCCTCAGTCAGACAGTGCCAGGCTGTCAGATTCCTGTTGGGTTTTCATTTTGTCTAAGCCTGTAGGGCATACCACCACGTGTTGGCAGTTTATTTTTTTCAGGTTTTAGTGTTCATAACTGCTTGCTTTGCCTTAGTTTCAATCTTGATTGCCTTAAAGTCTAATGATCGTTAGTCTTAATACATTTTTGCTTTCTTTTTAGCTATTTTAACTCTTCACCTTGAAATCACATCAGCCTCTGCATATTGACTGAGTTAATGCTACAGTGGGGAAAGTAAAAACACCCTTACTGAAGTAGTCAGTGATAAATACACCCAAGAAAGTCTAGGGAACTGACATAGAGTTGTCAACTTTTATCTTAAACATTTTTAAAGGGCTACCAGTGATTGTGACCATTGTTATATCGTACTTTATTTCATAAGATGAAAGACATTTAGCATGAAAAGCGGGAAAGACACCATAAACTGGTGATGACTATGGGGACATCTAGTCCAGTGGTTCTCAACCTTCCTAATGCTGTGGCCCTTTAATACAGTTCCTGTGAGTCAGACCCATAGGTTGAGAACTGCTGATGTAATCTAAGCCCCTCATCCCTGAGGAGCTATGTCCCTTAAGGTGGAGTCATTTGTTGAGAACTCGTACCAAACTCCATTGCCCAGGCCAGTGTGTGTGGTTTTTTGGTTTGTTTTTAATGTACCGATTTTTAAAAATATTTTATGATAGACATTTTGGTTTAATCTTTACTTTTTTTTCTTTTGTAGAGAGCTAAGAGTCTCATTTTTTCGCCCTTGGTAGAGTGCCGTGATGGCACACAGCTCACAGCACCCTCCAACTCCTGGGCTTAGGCGATTCTCTTGCCTCAGCCCCCCCAGTAGCTGGGACTACAGGCCCCTACCACAAAGCCTGGCTTTTGTTGTTGTTGTTGTTGCAGTTTGGCGGGGGCTGGGTTTGAACCTACCACCCTCGGCATATGGGGCTGGTGCCCTACCTACTGATCCACAGGTGCCACCCTTAATCTTTACTTTGAGCCCTTGAGTATTTATTCTGCAATTGAGTGTTTAAAAGGTATTATTTCACCTCATCTATTCATTCACATTTCTAACATGTGAATCACTTCCAGAGTTAGGGGCAGTCAGAGGATGCTAACAAGAATGCAGGGCTGGCCAGGCTGGGTGACTGCTGTGGGTATTTGTTAGTCTTAGGTGCAGTGTTAGCCAGAATGACAGATGAGGCACCTGGTCCTGAGGAATTAAAACTCAGTAAGCTGTTGCTTTTCTTATAGCCCCTGATTTTTAGGTAAGTAGCTGTGGTAGCGTTTGTGTTTTATGACCAGAGTTACCCTATAGGGCCAGAGAGTGATGTGGAAGGAGTGAGAGAGACTGTACCCATCCTTTACAAAAGGGACTGAGTCTTAGGAACCCTTCAAAGATGGGCTGGACTTCTTGTCTTGCCTCTTTATTCTTTGATCCATATTAACAATGTTAATCTGGGCTCGGCGCCTGTGGCTCAAGCAGCTAAGGCACCAGCCACATACACCTGAGCTGGCGAGTTCCAATCCAGCCTGGGCCCTCCAAACAACAATGACGGCTACAACCAAGAAATGGCTGGGCGTTGTGGCAGGCTCCTGTAGTCCTAGCTTCTTGGGAGGCGGAGGCAGGAGAATTGCTTAAACCCAGGAGTTAGAAGTGATGCAACAGCACTCTACCCAGGGTGACAGCTTGAGGCTCTGTCTCAAAAAAAAAAAACAAAAAAACAAAAAAACTGTTAATCTGTACTTGTACTTTAAGTTTAATATTTCACCTGCCTTTGGTTTCTGTCAAAAGCAAATATGTAGGCTCGGCGCCTGTGGCTTAAGCAGCTAAGGCGCCAGCCACATACACCTAAGGTGGCGGGTTCAAATCCCCAGCCTGGGCCCGCCAAACAACAATGATGGCTGCAACCAAAAAATGGCCAGGCGTTGTGGCGGACGCCTGTAGTCCCAGCTACTTGGGAGGCTGAGGCAGGAGACTCACTTGAGCCCAGGAGTTGGAGGTTGCTGTGAGTGTGATGCCATGGCACTCTACCCAGGGGGATAGCTTGAGGCTCCGTCTCAAAAAAAAAAAAAAAGCAAATATGTAATCAAGGTTTTAACACTACATGTTCTCTCTTTTGGCTCATTAAATATACTTTCTCTTTATATTTGCTACTTAGTTTTGAGGATTGCTTCTTTCTGTTTTCCCTGGAGACAGATTAGGACTACATGAGCCAAGAGAACCTGATGCTTGGGCTGCTAGTGATTGAGGACATATGTCTCTTCATAGGGTAATTACTTCATGTGTGGGCACATTCTTATAGACTGCAGGTACTCCTTCCCACTTTGAGCTTGGGGGGAGGAGTCTACAGTTTATATAAAAGCTGGGCTTTTTATTACAAGCCTTATACATTCAGATGAATCTCACCAGGCCATTTAATTACGTGGTAGGTATGGTTGAAAGTAACCCAAGGATTTGCCTACAGTTTTAGGAGTGAGGATGTTTGGCATTGCTATGATCTGCCTGGCTGTCTCTTTCCCTCTTTTTTTAGCATCTTTGTCATTCAAGTGGCAATTTTTTTTTAAGGTAACATTTTTAATATTCCTGGAAGTGTTGAAATTAATCTAAAATGGTTGATGACAGGGCTTGCCTTTTGGAATTTAAAGAGTTTCTGTTCCTTTTTTAAGGTCCTTTTAATTTTTTATTATGGAAGATTTCAAACGTGAAAGTAAAGAGAATTCACCCTAACTTTTTGTTTTTGTTTTTTCAGAGACAGGATCTTGCTGTGTTGTCAACTCCTGGGCTCAAACAGCCCTCTCCCACAGCTTAGACTATAGGCATGCACCGCTGTACTTGGCTCTCACCTTAATTTTTGAGAATAAAATGCATTGAAGAATATTTTCTGATGTCATATTTAGCATGTTGAAATTTTTGAGTTCTATGTAATAAGAAACTAGTGATAGTTAGGTTCCAGAACAAATATATGTGTAACAAGCCATTCATCAGCTGTTGTTTTAAAATTTCCTTATAATCTCATTTTGGCTACTTTTTTTGTTTGTTTGTTTAGCCAGGGCTGGGTTTGAACCCGCCACCTCCAGCATACGGGGCTAGTGCCCTACGCCTTTGAGCCACAGGCGCTGCCCTTTTTTTTTTTTGAGACAGAGTCTCACTTTGTCACCCTTAGTAGAGTGCTGTGGCAACACAACTCACAGCAACCTCAAACTCTTGGACTCAAGTGATTCTTCTGCCTTAGCTTCCCCCATAGCTGGGACTATAGGTGCCTGCCACAATGCCCTTCTATTTTTTAGAGATGGGGTCTCACTCTACCTTAGGCTGGTCTTGAACCCATGAGCTCAGGTAATCTACCAGCCTTGGCCTCCCCAAGTGTTGGGATTACAGGCGTGAGCTACATGCCTGGCTATTTTGACTACTTTTACTGATAGCTTCATCTAGTGAGTATCCTTTAATGGCAACTTTATTTTTTATTTTTTGAGACAGAGTCTCACTATGTTGCCCTTGGTAGACTGCTGTGGCATTATAGGTCACAGCAACCTTCAACTCCTGGGCTCAAATAATCCTCTTGTCTCAGCCTCCCAAGTCGCTGGGACTACAGGTGCCCGCTACAATGCCCACCTTGTTTGTTAGAGACAGGGTCTCACTCTTGCTCAGGCTGGTCACAAACTCCTGACGTCTAGCAATCCACCTGTCTCAGCCTACCAGAGTGCTAGGATTACAGGTCTGAGTCACCATACCTGGCCTGATGGCAGCTGTAAAAGATATCTTTCAGTTCCAGCTCCTAACCCTAGTGCCTTGTAATTTTACAGCTGTCTAGGCAAGATTACTAATCGTGTTAGGGATTCATACAGAATTTACATTAGAAAGTTGGGATTTCCAGTTTGCTAGTAAAGCAGAAATGTTAGTTTTCATTGGCTGTTGGGGTAGAAGGGTGGTGAAAGGGACAACAAGGGTGTCACTGCGGTGCTCAGATGGATTCTTGTGGCTGTGCAGGGATTTAACCATCTCTATGTCTAGTAAAAGGGCAAAGACCAACACCACCTCAGCAGGTAACATCCAGTATATTTTGCCATGTTTGACCAATCACAGATTTAGGAATTCAAAGAGGACTTTAATGTGATTGATCAAAATAGAGATGGTTACATTGACAAAGGATTTGCATGACATGCTTGTATCACTGGGGAAAAATCCAACTGATGAGTATCTGGATGTCATGATGAATGAGGCTCCAGGACCCACCAATTTCATCATATTCTTCACCATCGTTGGTGAGAAGTTAAATGGCACAGATCCAGAAGATATCATCAGAAATTCTTTTTGCTTGCTTTGATGAAGCGGCAGCTGGCACTGTTCAGGAAGATTACCTGAGAGAACTAGTAACAACAGTGGGAGATTCGTAAACAGATAAGGAAGTGGTTGGGCTATATAAAGAAGCACCTATTGACAAAAAGGAGAATTTCAGTTATTTTGAGTTCACTCACATTCCTAAACATGGAGCAGAAGACAGAATTGCAAATTCCAGCCAAATGTTCTTGTTGCCACTGTGGGTATTTAAGTTTTTAGGTTTAAAAGCAAATGGCATAAATGTTTAATGTTTTGAGTTTTGGATTGTAGTTATGGAAGTAATAGTAATACACTGCTTATTGTGCCAGGCACTGTCCTGAGCATTAGCAGACTTAATTTCTGTAAATATGATGCTTCCTGACAGCCCTGTGAGGCATTTCATGAAATTGAAGGTATCATTGGTTGAAATACACCATATAGAAAGAAAAGCTACTGCTAATTAAGCTCAGCTGGGCATGGTGGCTCGCGCCTATAATCCCAACACTTTAGGAGGCTGAGGCAGGAGAATCATTTGAGCCCAGGAGTTCCAGGCCAACCTGGGCAACATGGCAAAACCTCATCTCTTATAAAAATGAATTCAGGCCTTCCAAATGAATTCAGCCTTCCAAAAAAGCTACTGCGATACAAGGAAAAAACATTTGGGCTGTGCTCCTGGTTTCTGGCACATGCATAGCTCCTAGAAACTTTGGAATCTCCACAGTGACTACTGTCTTTTAGTAGGCTATGGAGATGAAATCTAGGGATCTCTGAAAGAGTATATATTCTTCAGATTCTCTTTCTTTGCAGTTTCTCTTGCCTCAGTCTCTGGAGTAGCTGGGACTACAGGCACCCGTCCCAATGCCAGTCTATTTTTTTTTTTTTAGAGACGAGGTCTTGCTGTTGCTCAGGCAATCCACCAGCCACAACCTTCCAGAGTGCTAGGATTACAGGCATAAGCCGCCATGCCTGACCTTAAAGTCATTTTTTATTATTCTCTTTATATTTGCCATTATTAACAGAAGTCAGTTGACATATTTTAACTGTTTACATTTTTAGTCAAAGGGAATGAATGTGAATAGTTAAAAGTCAAAACAGGTGTGGTGGCTCACATCTGTAATCCTAGCACTTTGCTGGTGGATTGCTTGAGCTCAGGAGTTGGAGACAACCCTGATAAAAGCTAGACACAGTCTCCACTAAAAATAGAAAGATTAGCTGGGTGGCATGGCCTATAGTCCTAGATACTTGCGAGGCTAAGGCAGCAGCAGTATCGCTTGAGCCCAAGAATTTGAGGTTGCTGTGAGCTGTGATACCATAGCACTGTACCCAGGGTGACAGCTTGAGGTTCTGTCTCAAAAAAAAAAATTGAAAAGTCTAGCCACTTCTTTCATGTTTAAATTATGAATCAACCTAGGGAGAGAAAACATTTAGGTTAATTTATTTGCTTATTGGAGATTTGTTAATGTATTAATGTTTTTCTTGGTACAAAAGCTCATTTAGCAGATCTTTCTCTTATATAGAGTTACTAGGAGATGTGCTCAGAGATCGGCCCCAGGAAGCAGATGGAATCGATTCGGTGATTGTGGTGGACAATGTTCCTCAGGTGGGACCTGACCGACTTGACAAACTCAAAAATGTCATCCACAAGATCTTTTCCAAGTTTGGGAAAATCACAAATGATTTTTATCCTGAAGAGGATGGGAAGACAAAAGGGTGAGTATGTTTTTCCATCACTGAAGTCTTATTTGTATTTTTCTTGGTGTCAAGCATGCTGGTTGTGTATGGCGGGGGTTCACTGTGAACTCAGAGCATGCCTTGCCATGGCACTTTGGCCCTGGTTATTCAGGTCCCCCTCAGCTGGAAGCTCTTAAGAACCATAATTCAGTCCTGAAATCATCATGGAGAAGGAGATTGCAATGTGGTTCTTGTATTACAGTATTCTAATTTGGCTACTTATTATTAAGAAATTATAGAGTATGATGTTTAAGGTTGCCATCAGAACTGTAACTGACACAAGACATCCTCAGAATAGACATTGATCTGGAAGCTGGCAAAATGTCAGGAAAATTTTGCAATTAGAATTTTATTGATTCTGTTTTTTTTTTTTTTTTCACTCATCTGACATCTCTGAAATGACATCCCTAAAATTGTTTTCTACAATTTTAGGTGAAAGCATTATGTCACTGCTTAATTAGCTACTTTTCCCCCCTTAGTGTTAGCTAATATAGTAGTGTATCTTTTAAAAATAATGGTAGCCTAAGGTATGCAGCTTACTTTTTTTGGTTTAATATTAGGTCTTCCATGATGATAGTATGGTTCTAATTCCTTTGTCTTAGATGCAGTTGTATTCTGTTTTCACATGACAACTTGTTTTCCTATTGACATTTAGTGTTTTGCAGTTATGAACAATCTCTTATCTCCTTTTATACAACTGAGAGTTTTTTGTTATACCTAGGAGTGAAATTTTGAGTTGTTGCCACTGCATATATCAAATACTGTGCTCTTGAGTGGTTGTTACCAATTTACACTCCTCCCGCTAGTATATGAAAGTTCCTAGTCTGGTCAGACTTTGTCCAATAAAATTTCATGTAGAAGCCAGATGTGGTGCATACTTGAAATCGTAGCACTTTTGACAGGTTGAGGTTGAAAGTACTCTTGAGGATAGGCATTCTAGACCAATGTGGGCAATATTGGGAGACCCCATCGCTATAAAAAGTTTAAATAATTAGCCAGGCATGGTGATGTGAGCCTATAGTTTCCAGCTACTCAGGAGACTGAGGAAGGAGGATCCCTGAGCCCAGGAAACTGTGATCGTGCCACTGCACTCCAGCCTGGGTGACAGAGAGGTACTATTTATAGGAATGAGAAGATACTAAAGTTTGTTTTTCTAACTTAAGGTTTTGAAGTTTTAAAAACTTACCTAGAGTAGTTTCTAAAAAAATTATCAAATACAAGTCCACTGACATTTTCTGTTTTGGGAACTAGGTTGAAAGGTAACTCCTTTTTGACCAGTTGTTCCTTGTTTTGTATGTTTGGTTTTAATAAGACATCTCTGAGGTCCTTTGTAATTTTCCTGTAATACACAATATTAGAGTTTTTTCTAGATTAACAGATTTATTGGGATAATTGGCGTACATCAAACCTGCATAGTTTTATAGCATACAGTTTGATAAGTTTTTATGTATGTAGACATCATGAAATCCTCACCACAGTCAAGGTAACAGACATTTCTGTAGTTTATAATTGAGAAGCTAGGGACCTCAGATTTTCTAGTTAGGATTTCCTTCTTGTTTAGGAATGACTTGGCTATGGATTTATCCTCAATTTGACTACCTTGAGCAGTGAAGTAAGATGAGTCAATTATTTGCTGGTGTGGAGAGGTCTTAGGTGCTCAGATTGTGGGTTCTGCACTTGTGAAAATTGCCTTTACTTACTTCAGGTACATTTTCTTGGAATATGCGTCTCCTGCGCATGCTGTGGATGCTGTGAAAAATGCTGATGGCTACAAGCTTGACAAGCAGCACACATTCCGGGTCAACCTCTTCACGGATTTTGACAAGTGAGTTCAGAATTGGCTGTGATTTTGAAAGTGGACACTGGCATATGAGTGACTCCTGCATTTGTTTTGGGTGGCTTGCTACTTCTCAGTGAGTGCTGCTGGCTTTTCAGGTTGTTCAGATCCTTGCTGGGCAGACTGCCATAGGGCCATCTTACATCCCTGCCTCTTGCTTCTGGCAGGCAGCACCCTTCACCAGTTATTATGTCAACCAAAACTCTTTTTAAGTTTTTCCCACTTCTGGGGAGGTCAGGAGCAGTGTGGCAGTGCCTGTGGTTGGACCACTGACCAAGTTACCCTTTGTCTAGTCTTTCAGGTATATTATTACTCAGTGGTTTTTCTCTTTTAGATATATGACAATCAGTGATGAATGGGATATTCCAGAGAAACAGCCTTTCAAAGACCTGGTGAGTTGTATAAAATATTCATCAAAAAAAAATTCTTTAGGTATGGTGCCTGTGGCTCAAGTGGCTAAGGCGCCAGCCACATACACCTAAGGTGGCGGGTTCGAATCCAACCCAGGCCTGCCAAACAATGATGGC